TCTGTTTGATGTTAGAATTACCCTGTCTGTTTTGCCACTGTACCTTTAAGACCTCTATGTAAATGACCTCTGTTATGATTGGCTAACATGTTTATAGATATGTAATTCACATTGTTGATCATCAGGGTGAGCCAGAGCTGCGGAATACTAATTAGTCAAATACTAAATACTTAATGATATGCGTACATGCACGCTCATGGTAATGTGCTCATGATTATGATGATTATCGTTATCATAATGTCTTATTTTTGCACTTTAGTTTTCATAAATAGTCTGGATTGACTGCTGCGTGTTGCGCTAGAGTAGGTCAATGTAGTACATGTTTTTTTTCTTGCTCTTTTAGAAGAAATACTATGTTTTCCAAGATATGTTCATTTATAGCAATTAATTATTAATTTGCCTGCTTTGCATAAACAATTAATAATTCATTAGGACCAGGTTATGACCTGAATCAGTGCAGTGATTGTATTTCTCGTGTTTTCTTTGCAGTTGGGATGAAAGCAGCTCCATCAGCAGCGGTTTGAGTGATGGTTCAGACAACCTCAGCTCAGAGGAGTTCAACGCAGGCTCCTCCCTCAACTCCCTGCCGACAACTCCCATTGGCTCCCGACGCAACTCTGCCATTGTGGTAATTCACTTCAATTGGATAGAAATATTGCTTGTTTCTGCTTCAAGGTTTGTTGCATCAGTTGGCCAATTTGTGACACACTGGATCAGTCTAGCCTGAGCACACAGTACTTGCTGCTAATGGGATGAATGTGTTACAAACCACTAACCGCATTAGAGTTAGTGAGCACGCACTGACTCAGTCGATACTCATCTGAAATCTGTCACCACAGAACACAGACGACACAGTTTATCCCACCCAAAGACAGGGATGTGACTCTTCCCTGGCCAAGAAGTCTTCAGGGAGTCTCTGGTTTCATTCTCAAAGATGAACTCCCATGTAGTGTTACGGGTTCAGTCCTCTGTGTGTGAATGTGTGTTTGTGTTGGTTAGGATTTGTTGAAGACCACACCGCTTTCTGGTTTCATTTCAGCCCTTCTGGCTACCTAAAATCACAGTTTCTTGGCGTTGTGAGAAACATTTACCACATTATTATAGTACAAATGGGCCACAGTGTCTGTATTTATTTTGAATGTTATTAGAGATATTAGTTAGATCCTACACACAAAGTTCACACACAAAAAAAGCATTTATTCACTCTTATGTTGATTCTAACATGAATAATTTGTTGCAAATGAAAAAAAAAATTATGTTCAGCATTCCCAGTGCAATCCCAGGAATCTTCTCTAGAGAATAAAATCAGATTAGCAGTGTCCCTGTCATCCTTCTAAACTGAAATTAACCTCTCTGGCAGCACCACAGGCCCAGTAATCTGCTCCATGAGGTTACAGCATCACCACACATGCTCTGCTGGACAAACAGATCACAGTGTTCTTCTAAACCCCCCACAGACTCTCATGCCAGCCTGCCCTCCTCCTCAGCTGACTTTATTGTACTCTTCAGGTATGAAGAGATGGAGGAGGGAATAATCCCCAGCTTCTTTCTTGATCTGACCCACGCGGCTGCCTCAGCCAGAAGAAGGAAATGACATGTCAACATCACAGTTATACAAACATCAAAGTTCAGACAGGTTTAATTGGTCAAATACGTGAGCTTGCCGTATCCCATAATTCCCAGTATAAGGGAGCAGAAATTCCTCAAATGACATCTACCTTTCACGAAGGTGAAATTTAATAAAGCAGGTATGCCCCTCCACAGAGCTTCTCCTTAAGCCGGACATGGTTCGTTGGACCTGGCAACATGGTCAGACTCCTCTTACTTTAAATGCTCTTCTCCTATGGTTCACTTTCACCAAATCTTTTTTTTTTTTTTTCAAATCAAAAAATGAAGCCTTGTTCAGTTTCATTTATTACACAAGGATTTTAATCTCACGAGGTAACACTAGAACCTTAAATGTAAGGTTTGATATACATAAAAAAAAAAAATTCACCCAAAAATGAAAATTTGCTGAAAATGTACGCACCCTCAGATCATCCAAGACATAGATGAGTTTATTTCTGTCAGGACCACTATCGTCAAAGACGACTGACAATTGATATAGTATACAGTTTGGATTGGCGGCGATATGGTTCTGTTCTGTATATCCATGCAGCCTAGAATAGATAGATAGATAGATAGATAGATAGATAGATAGATAGATAGATAGATAGATAGATAGATAGATAGATAGCACACATTAACACATTAATTAAGCAGGCAGAAGCTAGTTTTGTGTCTTTTAATTAAACCCAGTGATAGATAGAGACAAAACTAAACAGACGGTTCTTCTGGAGAAGAAACACTGCTCTTTCACCCAAAAATGAAAATTTGCTGAAAATGTACGCACCCTCAGATCATCCAAGACATAGATGAGTTTATTTCTGTCAGGACCACTATCGTCAAAGACGACTGACAATTGATATAGTATACAGTTTGGATTGGCGGCGATATGGTTCTGTTCTGTATATCCATGCAGCCTAGAATAGATAGATAGATAGATAGATAGATAGATAGATAGATAGATAGATAGATAGATAGATAGATAGATAGATAGATAGCACACATTAATGTACACATTAAGCAGGCAGAAGCTAGTTTTGTGTCTTTTAATTAAACCCAGTGATAGATAGAGACAAAACTAAACAGACGGTTCTTCTGGAGAAGAAACACTGCTCTGATGTTCTGTGGTGTGCTGATTTATCTCAGCGTGCGTTACTTCTGTTCATCTCCACTGCTCGTGTTGGAATGTCACCACAACGCATCTCACAAACCAGGACCCTGAAACAAAACGTCCATGTTTGGTGGCTTGTGTCGAGATAAAACAGTTGCTTCTTTTTCCTTTCACCGGAGTGGTTCTCATCGTTGCTGATGTTTATGGAAGCCTGTTTCCACCACAGAATAAAAAAGGTGATTGTGACTTTTTATCTCACAATTTAGATTTTGATGGCACAGTTTTGAGTTTATATCTCGCAATTCTGACTTTTTTTCTTTGAGTTGCACAGAAAAATCTGAATTCTGAGATATAAACTATCTATCTATCTATCTATCTATCTATCTATCTATCTATCTATCTATCTATCTATCTATCTATCTATCTATCTATCTATCTATCTATCTATCTATCTGTCTGTCTGTCTGT